GGGGGGGGGGGGGGGAAATACTTTTTCCCTAGCTGAGATTTTCCTTACCTGAGCCTTTGCCACAATTTCTTGTCTGTCTCCTTTGGTCTGGAGATTGGTGAAGTAGGCTAATATGGCTGGAACTACTAAATATCTGTTGAGAAAGAAAGACCACATCAATTACACTTTAAGGCATACATATATTTATATGCAATGAACCAAAGTCACTGAAAATTTCATCGATTTTTTAATCATCATCATCAAACTATAATATACCCTATCCAAAATGACTGAAAAAATTGCAATTATAAACCAATCTTTTCATTTTAAATGTTAAATCTTTACCATCACATGGATAATTTGTAGGTCTCAATCTTGCCTTTAACAATGCATCCCATTACCCATATACAGACATGCTGAAAACTTTTCAGAATGGCCGGACATTTGGACCAGCAGTAATAAAAAATTTCCCGGACCGAATGGATTTTTCTTGGACCGAAAATCACCCTATTTGTTTGAGACGGATACTTACAGTACAATTAGGTAGCTTTCTTTGTTTGTAAATGTGATCGGTTTGGAATGGAAGGGAAAAAACGCTTTGGGTTTTATATTAATGTATTAGTGAAGTATGTCAAATGATGACTGTAAATTCAAAATGGCGGCTCTTAAAACTCGTGTTGGTCCTTTAGACCGAATAAGTCCAATTTTTTACCGGTCCAGACAAAATTTCCCAGTCATGTTCAATATACGACCGACAGTTTCAGCATGTCTGCATATAAAGATATGATGTTTTCTTTGAATTACATTAACAACATAAAATATTTAAAATGGATATTCCAAAAGATTTGATCACCAAAAATCTTTTTTATCTTTGTAAACAGGCTGTGCTCACACCCTTATGGTACAGTACAATGTACAGTACATGTATGTCGAACATAAGACTTAATATATCGACTTTGTCTCTACCAAAGGCTAAAACAACGAAACTGTAGTTAAAAATTTTTGATCGATTTTAAAATACAGACTGTTAGATTTATCCACTTTACAAAAAAACACATTTTTTAAATTCCTTACTTTATGTCTTGTGTTGCAACTTCTTGCAGTTCCTCGTTCTCACTGAAGAGAGTGAGTTGGTTTATCATCAGTATAGCTTTTTCACATAAACCAATGCCTTCCTTTACTTTGCCCTGGTGATATAAAATACACAATGTCTTGTGAGAACGACATGGAAGAAACAGGTACATGGATATGATCATGTCTCACACTGATAGATATTTTATCTACAATTCAATTTTTAGAAAGAATTGTTAAGATTTTAACAGTGCAAGTAACAAGTTGAAAGCGATCTGATTATTCAGGTGTTCAATTAAGATCTTGCTGTCTTACTTGGATGACCATGGAACTAGTAGATTCTTGGGTATTATCCACAGATTCATATAACTTCCAAATGTCATCAAAGACGTCTGGAAGACGCTGTTCTGATTCTGTCTGAGATCCATGTGTGTTTTCGTTCACTGCTTGTGCCATTTTCACAATTCTCGTGCACTATGGAAGTCTCGCGAGAAGAAAACACTGCAAAATGGCAGCTCCCACGAGAGCTCGCACTCTCTCCGTTTTGCGAGGATTACTCCACGAACTAAAGCTGATGACACCAAAGGTAAGAGGATCATTAGCGTCACAATGTATTCAAAAATCAAACAGCACATTGAATGCTGAACCCAATTGTACAGCTAAGCAAACATAAACTTTCTGATAAAGCACCGAGTTTTCCTAAAACGAGTCTAAAACCAAGACCAACTGTGTTTTCAAGTATTTCTTGTTGTTTAAATTTCAGTGATAGATAAAAACGCAACTCGGTCATCTCAGTTTATAAATAATAAATACATTTTATACTAATTAACATTTGTGGAAATGAATGACGTAACATTTAGAGGCTTAATTATTTTTAATGAGCAAATGGATTTTAATATTAATCTATTGTATTTTATTTTATCGACAGATCATACCAATTTTCATTTTATACTTTTATGTATAAATTATTATTATTATTATTATTATTATTATTATTATTATTATTCCCAGAGTAAATTAAGAACCACTCCAGTATATTCCTATGTGTTGGACCAGTACAGACAACACCAGTTAACCAGTAATACGTACTGTAAGGGGGATGGAGCTATGAATCATCTTGCTGAAACATACCTCTGTCTTTTGAAAAGTACAAGAGAATGTAAGGTAAAGTTCTTGTAGACTTACTTGATTTGTGTGTACACATGTACACATACACACTCTACACTAGTTTGTTTTAACATTGGAAGATAATTGAGATACTTTATGAATTTTTAGTGTGATATTTTTTGCAGTAATTTTTTGTATTTGTTGGAAAAATCAGATACAGTACTGGGTTATGTTTTTAATTATTTTGTCCCATCTGTTATTTGTTGGAAAGTTCAGATACTAAATTTATATTTTAACAATAAAAATGATTTAGAAGAAATTTAATTTTCATATCTGTGGTCATGCAGTCATTACAGATCCTTATTTTGATTTCATTATTTAGGTCAAAGAGACCTGTATGGCAATATTTATAAAAATAACAGATTAAAAAAAATCCATATAGCTTACTTTACACCAACATGAATAGATACTGTGTTTCATTTTCTCTAGCCAATTTTGGGTGAAACAAAATATTTACAACAGAGAGGCATGTAATGACTGAAGTGTTTTTATTGTTTTATTTTGTAGGAACTAAGAGAGGAATTCAAAGGACATGGAGAAAGAAGCACTGAATCTACAGCAAATTTAGTTGGATATAAATTACCTGAATCGTATACAGAAAATGGTTCAGATAGCTAGCTTCCATATACATATTAGAGAATCTGTAAATACTACATATAAGTGATTAAATATTCAATTGAGAAACTGATTTGATGTTGAGTTGTTTTTTTTTTTAATTTTGCAAAAGCAACACGTCCTTTCAGAACTGCTTTGATGAATGGTACTGGAAATAATTTAATTTTTTTCTTAAAACTTGTCACTTTTTTACCAGAGGGAAAGCACTGAACATTGTTTGGAAAGATCACTTATCTCACATATCTTTAAGCCATAGTTAGAAAATTATTTGTCTTGTATGCACTCTGAAAAGGATTTTAATCACATTGTTGATATTTTTACCTTACACCCAATGCTAAAATCGATTTTCTGTCGTTGAAATTTTGTTTTGATAAATCAACAGTTATTATTATCACTATAGGCAGTAATTTTAGAACGTCACTTTAAAAAATAGAATAACTCTTCACTTCAGTGATTTCTTCTTGGGAGTAAGAGGGAATTAATCAGTTTTTAACACCAACCCTGTGTCTTTATTTTTCTCTCTGGTCATATCTTGGAAGGCACAATTAAATTATGTCACTTAGCTGTACACTTCAAAAACGTGTCTATAAACTAGGCCCCAATGTAAGCAAAAGGTATCAGCAGACAAATATAATCATAGATATCTGTAAACCAGCAACGTCTGCACACTAATTCTCTCTCTTTTATCAAATAAAACAACATCGCATGTCTGAAAACGGTCGTTCTGAGCAGTAGTGTGTTAGATGTGATCGGTATCACAACCCACGAGAGCATATCCACACGCATCTGTATAAACGGTTTCATGCAATGTAATGGGAATTGTGCCGTTTACGTATACATCAAATCCTGTCACAAAAATGGAGGCAAAGAAGGGTTATTGCGATATTTGTTTTCTATAAACACAAAGACATGTTCGTTAGTTCTGCAATTAGATCACGGAATGAAGAATTCTTTGAAGCGCTTCAATAAGTGCGGTGGTGAATAGACGGACTTGGAATGAGAAAAGATTATTGTGCCATAGACTTAGATTTCCGATCTAATATTAGGAAATGGTTATCAGTATCTATTTGTTGTTGAAATATGCCTTCATTGTAAATTAGCAGACATCCGAAGTTCTCTATAACGCCATAAAACGGGCTGGTAAAATGACAAGCCCAGTTTCCAGACATTTCCGGATTTGTTCCAACTCCGTACCTTCATTAGAAAGTGTTCACAAAGTAAGACATTAACCTATTTATATACATCTTTTTCCAAAAACTGTCACGGTGAAAGCGAGAAAAATTAATATATCTCTAGTTTTCAAAAAAATTCCTACACTTTTTAGCAAGAGCGTATGACAGTTGAACGGACGCTTTTACCTAAAATAAAAAGGCGGACCCAAGTTCCCCTGAAATCATTCGATATCGGAGTCAAGGCGAGGGCAAAGAATTTAAGGCTGGGTTGGGTGGTGGCACCCTGGCTTCTACGGGTTACTGAGAGCGGCAGATTTGAGGTTCAGGAGATTAATTTGTCTCACCCTTTGGAAACCTTTTCTATAGAACGCTGTCTGCTACACCTGTGCTTTGCTTAAATGAATATCACTAGCGACATCTTTAAATCAATTAACCAATATGTAGTCTTCTACCATGGAAACGTTTTAGGTGCATGTATTTACGAACATATCTATCTTGGGCGGTCTTTATTATCCAAAGGTGGTTGCACTCAAAAAACGGTCCCACTCGGCTAAACCTTGCATTTTTTGTTTCCATTAAATAATCTAAGTCCCAAAATTGTTGAACTTATCGGTAGTTTACTATCGGTAGTTTTCTTAGAAACATAGAAAACATACAGGAGACAACCTATTATTGCTTGATAAACGACAAAAGACTGTAAATTTATATAGTTTATGAAAAAAAATAGGTTTGAAGAGCGTTAACCCCGCCACATTTAATTAAAAAAGATCTGTTATGCAATAATCTACCTGTGTGCACCTCTCTGCTACATATATTCTGACATTTAAAAAATTAAGACATGAGTTATGTTGATATTTTAAGCATATGACACTTGTAGGATATGTCCTCTTCCTTGACCTTCCGCTGTCAAAATCAACAAATTATGTAAACATTTTGGGGTTTATTCATACAGTTATTTGTCTGAATTTTTATTTATTTGTTATGTGCATGTATGTATGTATTATGAATGGAAACCCTATGTTTGTTCGTTTGGTTTAAAACTTAGGTTAATAATATCCCGAGACGGCCTCGAAAACAGATTCCCTTCGTTATTTAATTATTAGATGAGGGAGATATCCTGCCTTAGATAGCAGCTTTATCACTACCATTGTGCGAATTTACAATCCAAGGTTGGGCTCACTTGGTTTCCCAAAGTGTTTTAAATTCATTATCGGATATTGGAAATCATCTTTAGTTGGCGTCCCAAAAACACAGTCAAATGAAGCTTTTCAAGGGTTCTTTTTTCACGTGGCAGTCTCACACGCAAGATGTCTCAGGTGATTTAACTGATACTCGGCGTGATAGCAATACCCTGCAGATTTGGAGATTACATTTGGCAACAATAGTTGAGTTTCCATTGCTAGACTTCGGTTTTCTGCTTCCGCCTTGAGATACCCTGAAAGAGCTACCAATGCGGACTCAAGAACCTTTTTTTGCGTGGACCAAGCATCTCTTCACCAATTACACGTAGTTTAAGTGTATGGTATATGTACATGTAACGTGGCTCTTTGCGTCTCCGAGTGTGTTTCGTGTAGATACCATTGTTGGGTATATAAAAGGTTACCTTCTTTCAGACTTGGACAAATAAAACGATTTATTCGTCCTTGTTTCAGATAATTATTTTACCAAAGACATGTCCTGTATTGGATGCAAGTTAATTAGAGATAATTTCTGTTCAAACAAGGGTCACCTATCGGAAGATACACTGTAGATGTTGTTTTGTACAGATTTTCCCGATAGAAAAATGCTATCTTCTATTCTATTGGCTTTCTACTCCCGTCTCCTGCATGCTTCCGCTTTACCTGCTTTGAAAGTAGAAATTCTCGAGGTGGTGAAATTTTACGTAGCATTTCCTGGGCAGCTGCAGGTTCTAATGCCTGTTTTGTGTAAGCTTGGCCTCATTTGCTTGGTTTTACCTTTCACCCACTATAGGCTAAAAACGTCAAGGATAATAACCAATATCTATATGCGTTACTGGAAGATGTTGCTGTAACACCCCCACCCCCACCCCAAATAAGAAGGCAAATAGTATAAATTAAACTTTGGACATATTTATTTACTTTTAAATCAAGACGATCAATTACAGCTAGCGCATTTTGCTTCCATTTTATCTCTAATAACTTGAACTACGCTTGAAAAGGGCATTCCGTTTTACCCCACGTGCGATTGTCGTGGAAAGGTAGTCAAATTTCAAAATAAGAACTCTGTATCATAGTTTAATTCGGCAGAAGTTAAAAGGTGACAATAAGCATTTTATACATGTGAACTTGCACAGATTTTGCACGATTGAGATAATAAGAATAAGAAACTCTTGACTCTGTACCCTACCAGCTATATGAAAAGTATGTACCCCCAGATGATACCAGTGGCAGATTTAGTGGGGGGTTTTGGGGAATCCAGCCCCCCCTTCGGTTTCTGAAAAATATACCACATCAATATTCCCCTCGTGAAATTAGAATTTTGACTTGCTGAATCATAGTTCTAAACCATACCAAAGGGCACTGTTTGCTCTCCTAAACACAAAAAAATTTTCGGGGCCCTTGAGTAGGCCCCAAACCCCACACCAAGTGGGCGACGGTTGGCTTCGCATCCGTTTCCTGTCGTTCCGGACCCCCCCCCCCCCCCTCCTTCAAATAACCCTGGAGCCGCCTCTGAATATTTAATGGATTACAGTATAATAATATAATTGCACTGGTGCAAGACTGTTACTGTACATTGACCATGTAATGCACAGTAGCCTAACGGTAAAATATGTTAATGGGCCATTGCAATGGCCTTGTGAATTCAGCTAAAAGCTAATCCAGGTTTTCTACAACGGCACAACTGTCTACGTCCAACGATCAGGCCCCTATCGTCTTGTGGTTTCAAGAGTATGGAAGACATGAATAAAATTAAAAAAAAAAAAAACGTACCGATAAAATAGCTATTGGTATCAGGTTCCTATCGTTTTATTATAACTGTCATCTCGTCTCATGCACTGTTGTTTTGACAGTGGAATCTGCTGTATTTAAAGTCGCTTTGTCAACTGACGTCGGCGGTATACACACACACACACACACACACACACTAGAAAAGTGTTAAGATAGTTAAAGGGAGGGGGGTTAGAGCTGACTAAGATTTTATTTTAAATTTGATACGGAGGATCTCCCTATTATTTTAGAAAACGATTTACCATTTTAAACGCATAAACTCGTAGATCCCTGTCTTATCTATGATTCATAGAAGACAGTAGAACCTATCTTCCAACTACTTTATATGGAGGTGGCGATTTTTTAACGAAAATAGCGTCTTTAAATAGATTTCAACACATTTTATTGGCAAACATCAGCCACACTTTCCATCAACCCATTCCACAGTAGCCAAACCAATTTTCTATTTTTTATTTTTTCAAATAACTTCTGTCGGTACGAAATTAGGCAACGAGTTACTGCTATTTCTTTGCTGTCTAGAGGAATTGGCCTCCGAGAGTGGTCTCAAAATTTAGATTATTTATCCATCTATTTATAATGCATATATTTATTTTTTTCTTTTCTATTTCATACATTTTAATACCTTTAAAAAATCACGTATAGGCCTGAGATCGGCGTTATGGCGTCAGATCAGGACTTAATGTTAATAGTTTCCTTCCAAGCAGGTATTGACTCTTTGACACATTCACGGCGTTATAGACATCGAAAGAAACTTTCAGCCAATCCCTTCCTGTGATTTGCGGTCACATGACCAAGGCATTGAAGTATGTGAAGCGGCAGGCTAGTATGTTGGTTCACACTTACAGCACGTTGCTGCGGCAGGCAGAGCAACTCTATCACAAACCAGTGGCATGTAACTAGCATTCTAAGCGAGTACAACATGAATATCGATGGCTTTTTGTTGATGGGAACTTTCATAATTTTGGCCTCCAGTGCCGACGCGGACTGCGTGGTTGGAGGGGAATCCCTGGAAAAGAACTCAGCAGTTCTCGTCACTTGCTCGGGGAAAAACATCACCTCCGTGCCCCAGTCAATTCCGAAGAATGTCACCGAACTGTAAGTAGGCTGTGTGTGCAATTTGACTTTAATTTTCAGAAACGCGAGAGGTTGTATGATCCCAGTTAATCGCGCCTTGGGATGTGTGTACTCGCTCGCGTTCTATGAACTGCATCCGTGTTGGTGTCGGTGCTTGCGGCTGTCGCTTCCAAAATTAATCATTAGCGGCACATTTCAAGCGTGATGCATAGTGAAACCGCAGAAGGCAGCCTTAAATATCCTAGTGAACTCTTTATGTTGGGTTTATTTACACGCATACTGACTATGTACTTGTCCGTCACCAAGGCTAATCTTTGAAATTAAAGGGGAAATGTTTTCAAGTCGAAAACATCGTGCTGAAAAAATTTTCTCAACGGTGAAGTTTTGTCTACTGTACTACGGGACATAAAATGAACTCTGAGTAATTGTGTGTGCCCACATTCTTATAAGATGGGAGGCACTGAAACACACACCTTCTGATTTCAGAGCACATGTGCTGAGAAGTAAAGTGATTGATGCAGCGCAAAATCTAATTAATTATCATTGCTTCTCCGAGGAAATAAGTATCTTACTATATTTTATACTTTTGGTTAAGTTTAGTCTTGTACTGATTAAGAGTCTTTTTAAATTACATATTTTCTTTTTTCCTTTTCAAAATTTTAAGATTTTTTTTAGAGGGCAAACATAAAAAAATAGCTAAATTTTTTCTAGTGTAGATTTCACTTGGTTTTAATTCAGCAAATCCCAATGAAAGATTGTCAAACGTTTTTTAGTAAGATCTAGTACAAGAGGACTGCAGTTGAAGTGAAAAGGTTGCAGGGTAGACATTCCTCATTCTCCAGTAAACAGATGCCACATAAATTTTCAGTAACACCAACTCATACATGTAGGCCTATGTGAATGTCAACCTCTTGAGCAGCAGATTTGTGAATGTGATGTCATGTCTTTTTTTTATTTTTGTGTTCTGGATTTTAACTTTTAGTACAATTAGAACTGATACTCTAAGGTGTTTCTGTGCGTAGCACTCATCTTTCTCACCTGCGTACATCACTGTGATTGAGCTATTTACTTAGTATGTGGCTTATCTCTTCCTCACTACTTCTCCGTGGCCCAAAAAAGATAAGGTATCAGTATTGACTTGAAAAGTGAATGGTGGTGATCCACATACTCTGATCTCCGTCAGCAGACGTTTACACTTTTTCCCTCTCATCTAGCTAGCTGATGGGCTCCCTGAGTGTGTAGAAATCATTGGAAACTCTCCTATGCTATCAACATGCCTCTGCCATTTTCAGTTAGTTAAATCTCTGAAACTAAGGGTGGGAGATTGCAATCTGTGATGAAAATTCAATGCATAGTCTCAGTAGTTTGAGCAGTTTTCATCTAAGGCTAAAAAACTGATTTTGATTGAAGAATACCAGTATTATTGGATTTCTTTATTTTCCCCAAAACTGAATTTATCCAGTGGGCCAAAACAGAAACTATGTTAAAAATACTATACTTTTTTTTTTTGCACGTGATGCTCAATTTTCACCAAAGGTCAAAAAAGATTTTGGCTAAAGAAAATGAGAAAATGAATAACACTTGGTTCCTTTAATGAAGGCTTTGGTTAATTTTTTCATAACGGCTTTGATAAAAATGTTATGTGAGATTAAATCTGGCTTGTGTCTGATGGCATATTCATTATTTTAATCTTTTAAACCTTCTATCAGAAGAAAAACCTATATCCCCTGTTAAAACATACAGTTTTTACACAGATGCTTCAAACTAGTATTAAAATATCTGAAATAGTTCATTTAAAACAATTATGGCATTTATGAACCTTTTTTTTTTTTTTTTGGAATAAAAAACTTAATGATTTATTTGGTCATAACTGTTAAAACAAACTATTCATGTGTTTGAATAACAGCTAAGCTAAGAGCCAAACCCCAGTTTAAAAATCTCCTTCCAAAGATTGCTCATTGATAACTGAAAATAAGGTCCATTTCTATGAAGAAAATATAACCAGGGTAAAAGTAGTATTGATCTGAAAATGTGCTGGTATGAAAATTAAGTAAGCTTGATGTTGCGCACACAAACAACAGACAAGCAGACAAAATTTTACCTTGTTATGCCAATTCCTCTTATCATTAAAATCCATGGGATTTGAAAATGTGTAGATGTGAGCATGTACACATATTCCTTTTCATCTAAGGGCCTTGTTAATTCTTAGAAATGGGAATAAATGGCACGGAGTGATGGGATTTCATCTTTATGGCCATCAGAACAACAACCCATACGTGCTTGTATTTCAAGCTGTGTGGANTACACATATGACTTTTGGAAAGCTGTCTGTAGAAATTTTTCCCATAATTCCTTCCGTAGGGGAGATAATTAGCATTTAATTTTGCCATTTTTGGACAAGGGTGCATTGCAATGAGTGCCACACCTAGACCCCAATACCGACAAAGCCCAAATTTTACGTGGAACGAGTTGAGATTATAGGTATCCTAAATCCAAGAGATGGGTATGGAGGCCCTTACCGTCTAGGAGGAGAAGCGGTAACGGTGACTTGGCGGCGGAGCCGCAGGAGCCGGCGGAGCCACAGGAGCCGGCGGAGCCGCAGGAGCCGGCGGAGCCGGCGGAACATACGGGTCGGGACTAAAACCATGAGTACCGCCAGCGCCTACGCTGGTGGTACAATTAATTGATAACAGTCAAAAATGTGAAACCCTATTTCTGATCATAGAACTTTGCTAAAAGTAGGAAAACATTGAAAATCCTGGAAACGTAGCAGCGAATTAACATTAAAAAAAAAAAAAAAAAAAAAAAAAAACTGTCAAATATATGTAGAAATATATGAAGGTCCAGTTTATCTCACCTTACTGTTCCAGATCATGAAATACTGATATACACTGTACATGTACTTTGCTGTCATTGATTTTCCAATTATTGTTCAATGTATTCCATTGACATAAAATAACCAGTCACTTCAAATCGGAACACATTTCAATACTTTTAAACAATTCTTGAAAGTGTGGGAAATACTTTTGAAGAAAAAGTCCACCAAGAGTGTTCATCTCCACAGCTGTACATTCTGATCTCAGGGATAAATGGGCTGACACACCTACAGCAACTTAGGCAGGAAAGAGGAGTTGGTGCTTTTGGGTACACGTTGAATTTTTTTTGCCATTTATGACTTGAACCATCTCCTCGTAAGTTAAGGTTTCATTTTCTAAGAGAGCGTCTGCTAGAGCTTTCTGTTTTTTATAGTGCACAGTCAGTGTTTTCTTGGCTCGTTCATAGGATTCCTAAAAGTAAAATCAAAAGTACATTTTTCTCTTTAAAAATTTATGCAATCTCCTTTTTTTATCAAAAATGAACAATTTATCACGTTCTTAAGAGGTATGGGCTGCATCAATCCAATCCCCTTGACATTGATGACATTCACAACAGATGATCCGCGGACTAAATATGGTCAACCAGACTAAAAAGCAATGCCGAATAATCCCTTAATTAGTGGTGTCCCTGCCTCCGCATGTCACTTGTGCCTTACGAAGCCGAGATTTAATCCATGTGGAGACTGGGGGCCATTAAAGGATTAGGCGGCATTGCTTTTAAGTGGGGTCAGCCATATGTAGTCCACAGATCAGTTAACCTGCAGATCATCTGTTCTGAATGCAGCCATATGTAGTCTGGGGATCAGTTAGTACCCAGACCATCTGTTCTGAATGCTGCCATATGTAGTCTGGGGATCAGTTAGTACCCAGACCATCTGTTCTGAATGCTGCCATATGTAGTCTGGGGATCAGTTAGTACCCAGATCATCTTATCTGAATGCTGCCATATAGGTGGCTGCTTGCACACACCTCAAATCACTTCAGTTTTTGGAACAATAAATGTAAGCACATATTTCACCTCAGTTACACAAATAGACACAACCTGATTCTATGGTGAAAAAAGTTTTTTTCAGTGAATGTTGTTAAGTTATAAAAATTAATTTTTAAAAATTTATTTCTCACCTATAAGGTATGGCATTTCCACCCATCAACTTTTGAACAAGGCATTGTGATAAAGGCTTGAAAAATCATGTCTCACAGGTAAAAAAAAACAAACTTTTTACAATCATAAAAAAAAAATCCCCATTTTTTTAACTTTGAAAGCTACTTTCATATTATCCAATTACCTGCAGCATCTTCTTGATTTCCTCATCCATCTCTTTCCTGTGTTCTTTGCTGAGAGCATCATCCTCTTTAAGCGTGCGCAGACCCACCTGCGAGAAAAGTCAGAAAATATTTTCTTAAGCTGAAATGGCACGTTTGGCAGCCATTCTCAAACACAATCACAGCTTTCCCTGGCAATTTTTTAGCCCTACACGCAGTGCATTTGTAAAGTTGCAGGTGCACCACACATTATACACATCCAAATATAAATTTGATGGCAATTTTTTAGCCCTACACCCAGTGCATATACTACAGCATATATACCATATTATATGATAGTAAATTCAGTGAGTGGACTGACCTTCTCTGACATGGCCCATTTGGAAACCATGGACTTGGCAAGGAGACTGGCCCGGTCACAGTCCGCTGAAGCACCTGTTGTGACTTTGCCAGATCCAACCAGTAACTCCTCGGCTGCCCTTCCCCCCAGCAGCATGTCCAGTCTGCCTAGCAGCTGTTCTCTGTTTAGGCTGGTCACATCTTTCTCTGTGTAAAATGAAGTCTGAAAGCAAAAGTGATTAAGGTTTAAGCATAAAACAGTCTAAGAGTATAGATGATTAAGTCCTCGGTATAAAACAGTATTCAACTAGAAAAGCACTCAGAGAGCGCAGACCTCCGCCAGGGCAGCAAAGTCTCCATCCAATGCCGTTTCACCCCTAAATTTTTGATATTATTGATTACTGATTGATTATTGATCCGGATCTCAACAAAAACTTATCATCTATTCCTTGGCCCACTTCTGACAGTTCCTGAAAATTTCATCAAAATCGGTCCATAACTTTTTAAGTTTTGTTGATGACAGACAGACAGACAAACAGGTGAAAACATAACCTCCTTGGCTAAGGTAAAAAAAGGGCAATATTAGTAGTAATTTCTGTCATTTTCTTGAGAACATTTCTAAAGAATTAGCCCAATCCATCATGTATTACTATAATTATATACTCACATGTCCAAGAGAGCCATATGACCGGGGCAGTATGGTCAATTTGTGGACCTTTTGAATGCCCTTGCTATAGAACCCCACCAGCACATGCCCAGCTTCGTGGTGAGCCGTCAGCAATTTTTCCTCATGAGAATGCAGTTTGACTCTGTTTGCTAGTGTTAAGCTTGAAGAGCAATTGTACTGAATCAGATATTCAAAACTTGAAACCAAAGAAATTTTTTCACGAAATCATACTCACTTCTAAGAGTTTTTCATTGCAATGAAGTGGAAAGCAGGAAATTTATTTTAAGTTTCAGTGGCTGTAGTAATAGGTTTTCCTGCTGCTGATGTTCTGACCAAACAACTCAATCACTGCCCCTTAACTCACAAAAGGACATCACAGTGTGGCAGATCACAGGTTTGGGAGTTATGTATCATATCTTTTATTATCTCACCCATTCTGATTCTGTCCAGTGCTGTATCAAAGTGAGACACATCTACTTCAGTGGCGCCATCTACTGCTGCTCTGAGGGCAGCCTGGTTGACGAAGTTGGCCAAGTCAGCACCTAGAAAAAAATTAGACAATTCTGCCAAATGTACCAACTCCTCTCCAATATTCATTTTTATAGTGATATTGATCATTCATATTTAACTAATAGTTTCAAAGTCAGATGGATGGTTAAGCTATATGTCTCTTGAAGATAAAATTCATTGACAAAATGTTAGATGGAAAGCACCACTTTGTGTGAGAGGAAGAAGAAAATGGAAAATAAAGTTTTCACAGCATTCCTTTACTTTAGTATTGGTGGCATGCCAACTAATTTGATAAACTCCATTAAATGATCAGTATATTAACTAAATAGCATTAATAACATATAAAACTTAACATCTTTTTTTATCTCCAGACTTACCAGTCATGCCAGTCGTCAGCTTGGCTAGCCTACCAATATCTGTGTCTGCAAACAGAATTATGTACAATGAATTCAACAGTATTTTTCCCTGTGAAACTGGTTTGACGACCCTTGGGGGGGGGGGGG